CATCAATGGGAAAGAAGTGGACTGATCTTTTGGAAAATATGAAAAAGAGAGGCATTATGATTGTTTTCTCTTCGAAACCAACAGCCCAAAAACCATGCATTAAGATTAAAGGAGAGGTACAAAATTTGGAGTTTGCGAAGGAAAAAATTATGAAGTTCCAAGCTGCAGTGAAAGAGAGACAGGTAACAATCTCTCGTCCAGGAATAGGTAAATATTTTTTGAGTAATCCTCAAGGTCAGACTATGCTGAAAGGTATAGAATACGAAGCTAACGTTTGTATAGAAGTTGAGGTTAGTAAAGAAAATTTTGGAGATGATGAGCCTTCCATGACAGCTGGTCGAAGTTTCAAAAATATTGGTTTTGGAACTACTGCTGAGATGAAGAGAGTAAATGTGATAGTTGGTGATATCACAGAGTTTGATAGAGCTGATGTTATTGTTAATGCTGCTAATGGCCAACTAGCTCATGATGCTGGCATAGCTGCTGCTATTGTAAAAAGAGGTGGTCCAGCAATCCAAGAAGATTCAAGAAGGTATATTGATAAGAATAGAAGTCTTTCTGATGGAAAAGCTGTTCTCTTTCCGAGAGCTGGTAACCTACCTTATAAGGCAATAGTTCATGCAGTGGGCCCAATATGGAATAGATCTGGAGATAACTCCAGAGGAATAGCATTGTTAAGGAAGGCTGTTCGTCAAAGTCTTGAGAAATCCAAAAGTTATACCTCAATAGCTATTCCGGCAATAAGCAGTGGTATGTTTGGTTTCCCAATTGATGTGTGCGCTGATGCTATTCTGAAAGCTATTGTTGAGTTTAGTGGTGCTGACCATGGCTCACAGCTTAATGAGATTAATATAGTTATTTTTGAAGATAACGTCAACGAGTTTTTAAAAGCATCTGAGAGAGAATTAAGAGGTTTCCAGTCTTATAGTTTTACTCAAAGTTCATTGTCTTCCTCATCAGCTGCAGTTCCTTCAATTCAAACTGCATCAACTCCACTAAGCAATGGTAGTACAGGACGTCGTAAAATTAGAGGATCAACCACACCAACCACATTGACTGCTCCAACTACAACACCAAGCAAAGTATCTCAGGTTACTCCAGCAGTATTTGTACCTCTGGTCAAAATTACAAATGGAAGTATCATACAGCATCAAGTAATTAATAATTGTCTATATTAGCTGTTAATAGACTATATGTCTATTCTTTAGGAAGAAGCAATTGTGAATACTACAGATACTGATCTTGGGTTTGGAGGGCTTGTGGCTAAAGAAATATTGAAAAAAGCTGGTTCTAATCTGGAACAAGAATGTTCTGAGCTTAAGCCAGTTGCTGTTGGTAGCATAACTGTTAGTGGTGGACACAACCTGAAATCAAAACACATCCTTCATGTTGTATTGCCTGGATATGATGGAC